TCTCCGCCAAAGCCAGCTCTCAGCAACACAAAACACACAACGCACAACATTCCATGACCTGCCAGCGGCCACAAAAACGCCTCGAGCAGATAGTCTCTCTTCGGAGATTGCAACATAGCACTATGCAGATACGCCCCTCCCGCACCCGTTCTATACGAGAGCCGAGAAGCCCTTAGTTCCCGGCCTCCCCTTTCCCACGCCCATCAGCTACGCCACGATAACGCCTCCCGCCCATTATCGTCACCGTTACCGTTACCACTAACACAAACTTTCCCCCGCCACTAGGTTCGACATGTGAAAAGAGGGGTCACTCTAATAAAATATAATTCAACCAGTCTCGCATATGCAACAATGAAAGATCGAGACCGTGTTTGTTGTGCGATTATAGATTCTAAGCTCAGCTACTCACCTACCCGGTTTTCGCTTCCTCCCAATTGTCTAAGAGTAATTGCGTTTGTTATATACAAAAATAGATAAGGGAAGACAATTGATTGTATGGCGCAAAAATGAGCCTTTCCATGGGTTGAACGAGACAAAAAAGTGACAAACTCCGTGTATGCAAAGAACGCAAGGGAAAGATCGAAAACGCCGGTTGTGTATGCAAAGAGGCTAGGAAATTAACAGGTAAATGGTGTATGTTCAGCTCCAAGTCGCGCTGCATGAGTCTTCGTATATCATCGATCTTTTTCTTCTGGTGTCCCTTGTTTCTTATTCTCTCTTACTCTTCCATGGGTGATTATTGTAATGGGTCGATTATTTCTGTCTCAACTGTACAATACGGTATTAATACTTTCTGTTGACCGCCGCTGCTATCAACCACCACCAAGACTATGGACGGTATTAGTCTACGTGCTTTTGCCCGCTTCAAACACCTTGTTCATGAACTCGTCCACATCGAGTTCAATCTTCTTCTCGCGAAGTGTCTTTGCAACCTGCGCTGCGTCACCCTCCATGCAGCTGCCTTCCAGTATACTGAGTATAGCGACGGCAGCGCGTGGGACGTTCTTGTCGCCCTCGATGGTGTAAATGTCCATGATGCGCGCGGCGTGCTCAACGCCTAGACGACCGCAGAACAGTGAGCCGAGGGTATGGAAGAGGTAGTCTCTGGGTTCAACTCGTAGCGTCTCTAGCCGTTGAGCCAGACTGGGCGCTTTCTTCGACAGAACGTGCAGTGTTGTGGAGTAGGCGGCGTGTATGGCGTTTTGATCGTGGATGAGGAAGGACAGTGGCAACGGGCGGTTGAGCAGATTGGACAGGGTGACGAAGGCTTGCGGCGCGGCAAGGTTCAATAAGAGCAATGCGGCGATGTGATGTATGTCGAAACTTGAGTGTGGGATGTCCGGGCGGTACATCGAATAGGCCAGGCACACATCGACAAGGTCCCGATGCAGCGGCTGCTCGTCCTCCGCCGCTTGTGACGTTCGTGCGGCAAACATCTTGAGTTCGGGGAAGACTGCTTGGGTGCTTTCGACAATGTAGACATAGCGGCCTCCGAGCGCTTCGTGGCCATGTATCTTCACTTCTTTGCGTGCTTTCTCCAAGGCAATGTTGTAGGTAGCTTCTGTGACCTCGAGGTCGTTTCCAATCGCTTTCTGCCAGACTTGGCCTCGCAACCGTGGGGGGATTCCGTTCCACCACATCTTCCTGTGCGAGGCACGTAGCTCGGAGTTGGTCATCTCGGTGGCCCAGTTTGGTAGCAGTAAGCTCGACCAGTATTCAGCCTTGATGCGGCTGGCCTTTTCACGGGCCAGGGCTTCCTCTTGGGCGCGTTGAGCCTCAAGACGTTCTGTGATTGTCAGCCATTTATTGTCTCAGATAGAGCCTCGGAAGGCGCAGATAACTTACCGGCTTCCTCGATACGAGCCAACATGCGCTGGTACTCCTTGAGGTGCTTCTTCTCCTCCTTGGGGTTCTTGGGCGGAAGCCATGACGGTCGGGTGCGCGAGAGGTACTTCTGCTTCTCAACTGAGGGCTGGAAAGGGTCGATCAGAGGATCGCTCTTGCGAACAGGCGGGAGTGCTGGTTTTTTGCTCTTTGGCTCTGGCTGGCTCATAGACGCTGAACGCGTGAGACCGGGCTGTTGCCGTGAGATTTCTTGCTTTCGCTCAAACTCGGATTGGAACTCCTCTAGCTTCTCTGTGATCAACTTGGCGTCGGTATCTAACGCGGTGTACGTCTCGGCCCATGTGTTTTGCTGTGCGCCGGGTTGGGGAGACACGCCCCTGCTAGAAACGTTGGGTGAGGGGGTCCGCTGGGAGACGCGCGCAGAGGGTGCGGGCGATGTCCTCGAAGACGAAGAAACACCAGGATGCGGTGACATTAATGGCGGACTTTCTCCGGTCCATGACGCTGGCGACCGATCCTGAGTAGGGCGCGGCGAGATGGGAACATTCCAGATGACAGCGTCTTCAGGGAGCTCGTCGTCCTCATCGTCGCACTCTGCCTCCCTTTCTTTTACAGTTTTTCTTTTGGAGTCCTGCCACGACTGCCTCCTGGAGCCCAAGCCCGGGGACGGCAAGACATCGTTCCGCGAGCTCTTGCGAGATAATGTGCGGGGTCCCGAAGCAGACTTGTGTGTGTTTGAGGGGGATGGCGAGCGCGAAGAGCGCTGGGGCGCGGCAAGGCTCAGGCTGGAGAGCGAGGGGACAGAGGGCGAGGTGAAGCCTCTTCTGGCCTGCTTGCCGGGGGCGGAGAGCTGGGCCTGCTGGCGGACGGCGTGGTTGACCTGGCCCTTGAGGCTCGGGTACTTTTGCTTGGTGGCCCCCGTCAGGTCGCGGAAGGAGTGGGCCGAGTGCGAGTGCGGGAGGCTCCTCGTGGACAGCGAGGCGCGCGGGGCTTCGAAGAGGACGCGATTAGATGGGCTCGCCGGCACGGGGAAGGAGGAGGGCCCACCTGATGCTTCGTCGAGGTTGATGTCCTCAAAGTGCGAGAGGTTCTCCGTCGTGCCCATGAAGTCTAGCAGCGTGGACGAGTGGATGCTGGACGACTTGGACGACTTTGAGTTTGTGAGGTCCGGCGGGCTGCCGGGCGGGGCGCCAAACGTCTGCTGGGCATCGTGGGCGTAGGTGAGGGTGGCCATGAGCGGTCGGGGCGGTCGTCGCTGGGTGTCGATGCGGAGTGGTGTGCCAATGCGGTGAGGCAGTCGGTCGTGGTTCGCCCAGCTGTCGTCGCGGTCGCAAGGGGCTTTGATTAATGAGGGCACATAGCTATGCGCGGAAATAATGTACAGCGACTTGGCGGGCGAGATGTAGTGCACGTCGGCGTCGCAGTCTTCGCTATCGCCCGCTTCGTAGACAGGAGGCAGTCGCTGGTGATGCTGCACCGCCGGCATCTTGGTCGATTCGGCGACGCAATTTGCGGAACTCGCGCTAGCCCCTGATGTCGGGGGACAGGGATGGACTCCAGTGGTGGGCCTCGCAGTGCTCTGGACCCGTCAGCGGCGCAAGATGCCTTGGTCGAGTTTAATTGCAAGCAGCCGTCGGTTCTACGTTGGGAATGGGATCGGGCATGGGAGCAGAGGGCGAGGTTCTGGCGATATGTGAGATGCAATCGTGCTTGAAACCGCAAAACCAATACGGCGCCGACTGAGGCAGGTATGCTTCTCCAGCCCGACCCTGGTTCAATGCGCCTAGCCAGGCGTTTTGCGACGCTGTCCCTCTGCTGCGAGCCTGCATAGTCGACCCCGGCTTCTTTGGGATGGGGTTGGTGTCCCAGCCGTCGCATCTACGCTTGACATCACGATACCAGCGTCGGCGGGCCAATCGCGTGCCGTCGAGGGCTGTCGCCTGCTCGACGCGAGGCTTATCAGGAGCAAGTAGTGGTCCGCCTATACACTACCGCGCCTTGCCTCAGTACTACCAGCGCTGCAATATGCAAGAAAAAGACATAACGACATCATCCTCTCTGCAGTCCTTCCGTCACTCCCGACAGTGCTGCAGCCAAGGCCCAAGGCTTGCAGTCGTGCCCACATGCCGCCGCTAGACGTGGGCGCTCGGCGTGGGCCCCCGGCCACAGATCCTTAGTGCTTTTCCCGAGTTCCTATCCCGTCACCACACTCGCATCCACACCTGCACCTCCCAACATCTTCGCTATATGCCTAGCCACTGCATTATCGCTGGAACCCGCTTTTGCTAGCGTGTTAAGCTTTCAGTGCCAAGTTATTGCCTCCTCCAGCATGCGTCGCTCCGCCATGTCAGACATGCGCGCTGCCGAGAGACATGTCTGCAGCCAGGCTAGCAGCGCGCGATGCTGCGTCTGCTTGCGCTGAAACACCGTCTGAAAAGCTTTACAAGCCAGCCTATCCCTTCAATTAGCATCTGTTGGAAACCGGTAATACGAGCCCCGCCATGTCATCTTGCAAACCGTGGAGGCGATCTAGCCAAATCGCAGATCGTGCATCCACTTGCTGTGCAACACGGAAGCTTAGCCACACGTACCATTGAAGCTGCCGCCGCGAGATGACGCCCTGCACAATCTTTGCCTCTCTGCTGCCGCGCGAGCGTGAACGGCGCTGTAGCATCACATGGGCTAGTGCAATCATGTTGTCTACCGTCTCTGCAGTTCCCTCCGTCAGCAATTTCCTTCGCTAGCGTAGCCGGCGCAATCACGATCGCTCGTGGCGTGTGCCGTGCTCGCTTTCGTGCTATCAGACCATCATTCATTACCACGCCCACCCTCCCACGGGACAACCCCGCACGAGCATCGATGGATTGGGCGTTGGAATCTTCGCAACGGGAAAGTTTAGACGTACTGATAAGCAGATTCGAACACGTCGTTCGCACCTTGGATAGCGCGCGTGCGTACTCGAGGCACCTCACCGCCGCTTCAAGAAAGCTTTGATGCAAATTCGCTAGTACCGTTGCCACGCTGTTCAACGATGGATCGATCAGCATGGCCTTCAGCTGGATCTTGAATCCGCTATCAGAAATCAGTAAATTGTCGGACTTTTCACCCCGTCCATGGCCCGATTGGCCGGCGGTGCATACCGCGATCTTCGAGACTTACTTCAGAGCTTTGCGATGGAACGTTTGGCCAGGCATTTTGGTCAGATCTACAGTCAAAGAGTCCTCAATACCTGGTGCGGTTAGCATCTGAAGCCGCAAATAGACATTGTGCACGCAATGCCACCTACCGGTCTCTGTAGGGCGTTCTGTTTTCTTGCTGACTTCCAGCGTCGTCGTATCGATACAGACGCCGCAATACGGGAATTTACCATCTGAGCCGCTTGTCGCTATCCGGTCTCCTTCTTCTGTCGTGACATCGAAGTTTGCCATCGACTTTGAAGGCTTTATCACTACGCCGTATTCCGGGTGGCCTTTGTGCATAACGCGTACGAAGCGCTGAGCATACTCTTCGTTGATACTGATCAAGAGGAAATCGTCAAGCAGACGAAGAAGCAATGAATCTTCATCAAGCACAAATCCAAGCACATCGCGTTCCAATTGAGCGTAGAAGAAGTTGCACAAGATGCTCGATAAGACTGAGCCCTGTGGTATACCAGTCTTCTGGCGATAGAAGCGCTTCCCGATTTTAACGACATTTCTCTCGATATGCTCCTGTAAGAGCTGCATCAAGTCATCCTTGGTCTCGCGCCGCTGCATGTTGGTATTAACAAAGACGGTATTGGCCTTTGTGCCCGCCAATCTATCTTGCACGAGTTGGTGGAAAGGCGTTACTCTCGTCGCTGCCTCAGTATGCGGTATGTACTTCTTGAGAGGCATCGGGTCCACATGTTTACCGCCGAGACGCTGTAGCGGACCCAGGGGTGAAATCTCCACATGTTTGCCGGTGTTGTAAGCCTGGATCGACATGAGACTGTCGATCATACGCAGCAAGCGTGACTGTGGTATAGTGTCGAAGCAAGCCTGAACATCAACCTTAGCAAAATAAAGCCGAATGTCGCCGAGCCCACGCTGTCGCAACGATGCTTTGAAAGATGCAAGCTTGGGAAGCATATCTCCGACGGAGAAAAGTGAGCAGCCGAATTTATCGGGACGTAACGACTGATTCAAATTAGCCATGGTAAATTTGTCACCTCGAGCGACTACTGACCTTCTCATAAGTAATTGCATTGAAAGCTGGTGTCATCACCGAGTTGATACTTCGTCCGAGAGTCATAGTCCCATATCGCATCACCTGCTGTCTTCTCTTGAGGTTCATGATAGTCCGGAAACCCTGTTTCTTAGGTAGCAGACGAACGTTACTGAAACCAAGCTGACGTGCGGACAGCAGTCTTTCCGTACTGTCAGTAGGCATCTCCTCGAACATGTTCATCCGTAGTTCCTTCAAAGCAGGCTCTGTTAACATCCGCCAGATATCATGGCGGAAGTAGAAAAGTCTGTTCCGATGCGCGTTGGACTCCGTTACGTGGAAGTTTGTGCGAACCAGAGGAACGAGGAAAGAGTCGAAGAGCCAGTAGACGAACTCGATAAATATCTCCGTACGCTTGTCTATGTCCGACTTGGATACCTTGGTGTCGTCGTCTTGGCTGGGTGGGCGCAACCAAGCTATGTTCGTGATCTAGGATCTCTTAGCATAGCTCCATGCTCAATGTAGAGGAATACGTACCTGTATGTTCTGTGTAACCTGATGTAGATTAAGCGATTCGAATCTGCGCATGTCTACGAATTGGTCCACCCAATACATGAGGGTGCGCTGGTTATGCTCGTTGCCCCAGAATCCTTCCGGTATAACTTTGGATATGACTGCGCGGCAAAAGGCCGATACGTGTGCTGCTGGACACGCCAGATCTGTGAAACAGGTTTCTTGAACGGTGGGATTTCCAGGTGTAGGTCGCGCTTTCTTGCGACGATTGACTGGATCTGCGACTGATCGTACATCTGCCTTCGGCTGAAGTGCGCTCTTCCTCCAATCTGGCTTCGTTGACACGGGTACCCCCTATCTGAGTTAGCAGACTTTCCTATACATGTCATGGAGAAGAGTACCTCGATTGGACAGTAGTGGCGCAGCATCTCCATATACGAGCACCGCTGGTTGCGGACCCGAAGTTTGTCCACCAGTTTAACAGCGTCACCCCGGAGTCTCTTTGGTATTCGCTGCTTCCACTTATCTATCTCCTGGGCGTCCGTCGCTTTGGGGCCTAGCTCCCGGCACATGGCGGTATGTATATCCTTCTCGCGCAGCGTGTAGTCTTTGAACGGCATGGCTGTCTCACGATGATCCACCTTGGAAGTGAAGACGTTGTGCAACCCGAACTGACGCGGGAAGATATACCGCATGGCATGTACTGTCTCTTGTTTGTCTTTTCGATCAGTTAATCGATTGAGAACATCTATAAATGGTTAGCTCCAATAAAGTACTCGAAGAACAGTGACAACGCACGAATGTGGCGCATGCCAAATCTCACACCACCTTTCGCATTGAGCGCTGCTTTCGCGTAAAGCATGCGACTGCGCACAAATGTAATAGCACCAGGCTTTTTGCTTTCAATCTTGAGCTGTGAAGGTTTGGTGGGCGCTTCCTTATCCGCGTTGACTCTTGCGATGTTGCTCTTCTGAGGTTCATCCGACTTCATCTCATGCACAGGAACCCCAGAGAGCTGATAGTAGTTGCCCATATCAGCACTGACCAAGATGAATATGGAGCACTCTAGAAGCATGTCCATCATAATGCGGTCCCCGCCCTGGCCGAGCAATGCGTGCAATCGGCACCATACTGGCTCTTTCAACGTCCTCGCGTAGCTATTAGGTAGGCGTTCTTGCAGACCAGGAATAGATGAACTCGGATCCTCGCTGGTCCTGTATGCACGGCGATTGCTGCCTGCAGCTCTTTGAAAGCCATAGCAGAGTAGATGTGCTGGTTTGTGAGATGTTGAACGCTTGAATAAGCGCCATATCACGAAATCAACAATCTGGACATACTTAGTCGTAGTTCTTTGAGCGGAACACTATGAGGAGGCGATGCTTCGTATGACCTACCTCGGATTGCCTGTAGTATCCCGGCTTGAAGGTACCGCCCGGAGTGCTTTGCGATCGTTGTTGGGTGAAGACTTCGATATCTTTTTCACGCTCCTCGGTGATACTCGTTGTTTTGTCCTTTTCTAGTTGGACGCCTGGATTGCATACCAGTGCTGAGTCGAGCAACTGCACAACGGCATTGTCAAGGTCGTCCGCGGTGTTTTTGTCTCCAGCGGGTATGGCATGTCCAAGTTGCGAAAGCTTTCGGTACCTATTCTTCGACGAGCCTGGGAGTCGAGAGAGCAGATACTGGCGCAGAGTAAGGACTTCGGGATAGAGGCGTTGTAGGACTGGATGAGTAGCATTAACAGTGGTGGCCTTGGTGGATTGGTCATCGGCGCCCTTTGCTTTCTTGCGGACGCCCGCACAGTTATGGGCGCTACGTTTTCTCTTCATGCCGTTATAGGCGCATGCATGGCATGCGTAGGCGCGTTGTTTGAGGCCGGTGGTGTGTGAGTGGAGCTCGTGAGGCGTGTCAATGGGGTTAGCGCTGACGCGACCGCACGCGTCGTCGCGTGACTCGAACAGGGAGTCGCATCAATTCTTGTCACAACTCGCGTACAGTCACCCAACAGCGTAGTTCATACTAGATCGAAGCATGAGATCATTACGAGCAAGTTAAGCTAAGCAACATGGTCTCATTTCGTGATCGCATTCTACCTATGTACTTTCCTAGAGTACTCAGGCGTTGGACGCGGGCACGTGGGTTTGAGGATCATCCGGTGCTGTACGGATAGTGTCCAAAGACCAAAATATCAATCCAAGTCCTTCTCTATCCGCATTCGCTAAGCTCAGTTTACCTTACAGGTCTAAGCACCTCCCAATCCCCCATATTACGCATATCGTCCGGCTCATCGTCCATCAAATTCCTCCTACTACTCCCACCACTTCCTGTGCGCGGCGGCAATGCCGGCTTGTCACCGTCATCATCAATAAGATTTTGCACTGGTTTCCTGGTCAGATGAGGAGGCGGAGCCATGGAGCGTCTGGTTGACTGCGGAGGATATGCCCTCGATTCTTCTTCCGGGGGATCATCACGGTAACGTTGTGGAGGGGGTGCGAAGGTTGGTCCTGGAGAGGAACCTTTAGAAAGGAGAGCGGGTTTCTTATTGGGGATTGGAGGTGGTGCTGGTTTGCGGAGGACTTGTGGTTTGCTGGAGGATTGTGTTTGGGGCAGCGTATTTGATGCGCGGTAAGGTAGGCTGCTGGGAAGGGAGTGTGTAGACGCGCTTGAGCCGCTGCGGCGGAGGTCGCTGAGCGAATCTCGCGTACCGTCTGAACCGAGGATTTGAGTGGCATGACCCGGATACAACGGAGCGATCATCTTACGAGCCGCGGGCTTCTGCGTTGGTGGTAAACTGGTCGAGGGGCCGTTGAAGTCGACTGTGCGTGCTCTCTGTGAGCCGCGTGCTGGTGGTGGCTCGGGTCTGCGACTGCTCGGCATATGCCGAACATCTATCCAGTCTGGCTCTGGACTAGGCGTAAACGGATTGCTGGGTCGATTCGGGTTTGGAAAGTGGTTATTAGATGGCGGTTCCACGCGTGCTTTCGCTGGTAAACCTATTGAATATGAGTATCCAAGCTATAGCGGGAAAGATGATAAAAGTACCGTTGTCGAGCCACCACTTCCTCCGATCTGAGCTTGCAGGTGGCAATCCTGGCTCAATGCTATCGTACCCAAGCAGATCTTCGTCGTCCGTCTCATCATCACCCAGACGGCCTGCAGCGTGGGTATCGCCAACCACTTCTCTTCGTTGTTTGTACAAAGTAGCCTTCATGGCATCCTTCTTCTTTTCATCGACCCTTTGCACCAGTATCTGGAACGTAGCATAGACCGGTCGGTGGTCAGAGAAACGAAGTGGTGCATCGTTGTAGTGGATTTGTCGGATGTTATCACCCTTGCGAAGTACACGATCACACCAAGCGGGAATGCGCGCTTTCTCGGATGTATCGTATTGGTTACTGTTGAGGTCGTACTTGTAAGTCGGCGGGAAAGTGATGCGGGCCTCGGAGTAGTACGGAAAGGTCAAGCCAGCTACCATCTGCAGATTAAGCTGCTTTTGGTTAGCTATGGTACATGCAAGTAAAACGTGACTACTTACCTGGTCGTTGTCGTACAAGGTCTCGAGGTCACCAACATGGCACAGCCGTTGCACCTTCTCATTATTCAGGCCAATCCGGTAGTTGAAGTCGCCGAGCCATATTACAGTGTCGTGGTCTTCAATTGATCGGTTCCTTTGAAAGCGTAGGCCATGGCTGATAGTCTTGTAGTCGCGGTTGCGCTCTTCGTAGTTGGCAAAACCAGCTGCGAGATGGGCCGTGACAAGGCAGATCGAGGTATTGGCGTACTCAAATCGAATAGCTACGGCTCCCTTGTTACCAGCCATACCGGACATGCCAGTCTGGAGTATGTTTTAGCGCAATAGGTAAAGATGCAGTAAATGTGGACATACCTTCTTCAGAGCGCCTTCGACGTTCTTGATATGCGTAAGGCAGTCGGCCCGGACAAAGACCGACAAACTCGCACCCACTAACTGGCCACCTCTTAGAATAACATACTCGTCTTTTCTGTGCTTCTCGGCATTCTTGTTGAGACACATTCTGACAGCTTCCTCCCAAGCCTCGCGTCTGTCTGGGTCTGTCGACATGATTTGTTGAGGGCTTAATTCGACAATCTCTTGAAAGCCTACAGCCACTATTTCGGGGCACTGCTGTGATGGATCGACATCCGGGCATAGCCAGGGCGAAAGATCGCTCTTTATGCCACTCGTTTTTCCGTTCAAGTTGAATGTTCCGACAAGAATATTGATCATCTCGGTCTCCGAATACTCCGCAGATCGTCGCGCAAGCTCTGCGACCACATAGTCGTTGAGCGGGTCATAGAGATGCACTGGAACCTGGCCAATCAGTCTTCCAAGGAGCATGTCAATGGTGTTCTGTCGCCCTTTATCCGCAAAGTTGTTAATGTACATTCGGGTGGCGCTCTTACGAGCGTCTGCCAGAGCACCGGCAAGCGACATCTTTCCAGATCGCGTAAATGAGGACTTCAGCGCTCCAGTTCCCGCATAGATCTTTGAAAGAGCATCGCCATTATCTGCCCACATACTTGAATGTCTGACCCAGAAGTCCTGACTGGCTCGAAGGCCTTTGTGGCTCAAAAAGATTTCGAGTGCCATCTTGCTGATGATGGTTTGCACGAGATTCGTTCGATCAAGGCAATCCAGGCAGTTTGTTCGGAAGACTCCCTCCTGCTGCAGTATGCTCATTGTCCGGCGGACAGCGTAGTCTTCTCCATTGTGTCTGGCCACTTCTTCCACATCTTCAGAGAGATAGTACCCAAATCCTTCAGCAGAACCTTGGATCCACTGAGCAATCATACTAGCCATCTCATAGCCACCGGGTCCTCGTGTCTCGGCATGGAAGTCATATTCCGTAAGCTTGATGAGGTCATGCTGTCGGTCGTTGAGATTGCTTCCTTGGTTCAACGGGCTATTCCTGATATGCCCGCGATATCTATGCGTCAACTCTAACTCGTTTTGTTTTTCGTTGCTCAGCAGGTTTACAACATGAGTTGTGCCGTAGCTGAGTTCCAGATTATCAAAGTGCCTGTCAAAGGCGGGTTGTGTAGCTTCCGGCGACCGGGTGATGGTAATCTTTTGTTGGTTTGGGAGGAGACCAGCCTGCTGTTCCCAGAAGATGGGTACACTTCCTCGCACCTGCACATAAGAGAAGCAAGCTCCCGACGGCGCCCAGTATATTGTTTCGCTTTCCACAAAGTTTGCGACATTCCCATCATCGTCGATACCTCGCGAGTTGAATCTTGTGCCCGCCCGCTTGCAGGATAATCTTGAGATGAGCGTCATGGACGACGGCATGCCGGAATCCTGTACCCTGATGGGGGCCGAAGACTTGGGAATCGTAATGGTGAGTGCGAAACCGCGGATGGCAGATGTCAAGATCCCGGAAGCATCCAAAGCGTCCTTCTCCCTCGGCGCAAGGCGGCTCCTAAAGTCCACCAGTGGCTGGATCATGTATGAGTTCCATAGAAAGCCAGCGTCTAGACTGTCGATAGAAACGGTTGCGGCATCGGTTGTGCGGTCTTGTAAGCGTCTGGTGAGGTCGAAGTCTGAGCTGTAATAGAAGGTTCCACTGCTGAGGATCTTCTTGAGCGCCAGACACGGGTGTTCCATGGGCGATTGCTCCTTCCTGCCACCGAAGCCCATCTCATATCCTTCGTCATCGATTGTATCCGTGGGGTAGGGGTTGACTTCGTCGTTGAGCAGGGTATCGTAGCTTGTGCTGGTCAGGCAGTAGAAGCCGACCGAGTATATCCTCTGCACCGTCTCGCCAGGCCGTACTGTCGCCACCTTGCTCGCGCCATTGACGACGACGAGGAAGACATCGCTGTTGACGGTGATCAAGCCCAGTGTGCCGTGTACGTTGACCGAATGCAGCGCGCGGTAGTCTTCTAGATCGATTTCCTCCAACCGGGTGAACTCGACCATGCAGCGCGCGACGCCGGCGCCATTGCTCCCCAGTGACGTGGACGAGGCATTGGGGTTCCCCGACTGTTCGGTGGTGGATGAGCTGTGTCGGAGGACGAGGGCGTGGGTCGAGGTCGCGAGGGCGATTGCGCGGTGTGGGTAATCTTTGATCAGGACACGGATAGACATGGTCGGAGGTGGACGGGGGCGGAGGAGGAATGCGCGGGTGCTTCGATCATGCTCGGGGTTCTGCTACACGTCAAGGCAGTCAAAGCGTTTGCGCAAGTATGACGGTCGCGGCAAGTAAGCACGTGTGCTTTGGCGGTTGCTCTCAGCGCGCAGGATTATGTTGGCCTGGATGCTGATCGCAACCCTAGATGTACACCACTCGACTGGTGCCCGATGCTTTACAAGGCTGCCCTGACCATCGCTTAGGCGTACGCCGGCCGCCAGAACTCGACACTTGGGCTGAGAAACATGTGGAGCTGATTCACTCCGTCTCGGAAAGTGCGGCGCGACGTCTTTGCTGGTTCGTGCATCGCGTCCAGGTGCAACATAACTAACTAGTGACCTCATAGCACGAGCAGTTGAACATGAAAGTAAATTAGATTGGAAAAAAAGCTATAGACATCCGCACCATAACTATGAACAGATGCTGCAGGTCCTTCAAGACATAAGTAGTGATATCAATCGTAAGCCAACAAAAATGGGGTTCCCAAACAGACACTCATCTCTGCCTGTACGCAACTCTGGTGTTAGTCTCCGTATAGCTGGGGTCTTCATAACCACCCCGACTGCGACTGCGCTGTCTGCTCCTGTCGCGCCTCTGGTATCTTTCGTAATGATCGCTCTCGCTCGATGCAGCAGGCTCCACATATCTGTAATGCTCGTAGCGAGGGTTCTCTGGACTGTAGTTGCGTTCGCGCTCACGCCTGACCTCTCGCTCTGTATACACATACTCGCTGCGGCTAGGGCTCGATGAACGAGAACTCATGCTAGACCTGGGCGAGACTTCGACGTAGTGCGCACCGCCATGGCGTGACTGGGTGTGGTGCGAATGGTGAGATGAGATGTGGCTAGGCGGTGGAGGTGGAGCCGGCATGGGCGCCGGGGGAGGAGGCTGCACGAACACAGGCACAGGCTGCGGTGCGGGAATCTGGAGAGGCTTTGGCGAGGGCACCGCGACGTAGGATGCTGAGGGCCGTGGAGAAGCCTCGTGCACAATCTCGGTGCGCGAATAGCGGCGCTCGATGTCGCGCGACTGGCGTGATGCGCGGCGACGGGGCGGGGAGCGGTTCCGCTGGACGACACGGTAAGGGACAATGTGGTCCTCTTCCGGCTTGACTTTGACCAGACACATGGCGCCTTCACCCTCGGCAGGGTATGCAGTGACAGCGAGGCCTCAAAAAGTGGGAAGCTGCGACTGCGATCGCGATGTGATTCGCGCGACGATCAACGTGGGGTTCGATCGAGGGCGGGACGGGGCGCACCACGACTGAGTGAGAGGCTCAGCGAGCGCAACGACAGCTGGAGAAGATGGGTAGACAGGCGCAAAATGAGCGGCACATGAAAAGGTCACCAGAGGCTATGTATATGTCCTACAGATCGGGCAGCCGGTGCCCAGCCACACAGCTGACCCCCATGTCGATTCCATGCTGCTCCGCCTTGGAACTCAGCATGCGAGTGTGACGATGGGGTCTGGGCTTTTCTGACAGCTGAGTAGTGCTAGCGTCCTGGTCACCCTGGTTAGCCTCAGGTACGGACGGAGCCGCCAATGTCAACAAGCAGGGCAGAGTAGATAAACTTCATATTGCAATAGCCGTCTACACTCGTGATTATCATGCTGCATTTCACATACGACCATCAGACATGCCGCCAGTTTTCCCGTCCCGAAATATCATACAGCCTTCACATACGCTGTTCACTCTTCCACAGGTGCCGTGCGACTGCCCGTCATGCTACCTCGCTCTCAGGGTCCCTAGCTAGTTTCCCAGTGTGTTACTTTCTAGTATACATGGGAGTCTCTGGGCGGGCCGGGCGGTGTAGGCTTCCTATTTCATTTCCTAGCCAAGATGCTTGCTGGAGTTAGGCCATGTCTACCACTAGTCGTCCATGGGCTTGTCTTCCAGCGTGACACCTCTTGGCGCTGCTGTGTCGTCGTTCCTCAAGCTGCCGGTAGAGTCCCGATTGCCCCTCGTCAAGCTGCCTGCATGTTTCCGTGGGAAAGGCACCCGGGTACTTGATGGCGCTGGGTGCTCGGCGGGAGCAGGAACAGGAACAGAAACAGTTTCAGGCTCTGTTGTACCATTAGTGGTTGCAGTGACTTCTTCGTTGGTAGGGCTGTCGTCGCTTCCAGGTACTTCAAGAGAACCACGATCTCCCTTGCTCCTTCGCGTTTCGGTTGGTGACGATGTGTTCACGGGGAATCGAGTCTGACTTCGGTCACGGCGATGCGAGCCGGAGACACGCGAACCAGGTGCTGGTGATACCGCACGAGGAGAGCGTTGAGCTGCGATGGCTCGTTGGCGCTCTTCCATGTTTGCTCGTCGGTTGCTCTCATCCGTCGAGATCGCGCGTGGTCGCTGTGCGCCCGAGGCTGAGTGGGTGAGCGTGCTCGCGCGCTTCAACTCTCCAAAAATGGCATCCTTGTGCGCAAATAGGTCACGGACGAGGCGGTAGCTGTAGCGCTCGTTCATCGTCAAACTCGATTCTTGCCTTGGTCTTAGGATGCATGGCGCGAGTGCATTGGCCAGTGCTGTAACATAAGTCTCGTCGGCCGATGTCAACTCAATGAGACGAGTGAAGTGTGTGCAAATCGCGTCGAGCGTTGCGATGTTAGCGAGGCGGAGTTGGCCAAGGGTAGATTGCAGAACAGAGACCCGAGTCTCTTCAGAGACATCTGTAGCGGTGGTGCTGTAGATGGTCTTGACAATCTCGTAGACGTGAGAAGAAACCAGTGAGTCTATTACAGTTAGCAAAGGATCTGATGATGCAGAGTTGACACCTACCAGGAAGTTCCAACAGGTAGAGTTTGAGGACGCTCGCAACAATCGGTACATCGTACTTCTCGAGTAGTTCATCTGGGAACCTCTTTCCAGTGTTGATCTCAGCTCGGAGGGTGTGAGTCTGCGCCAGAGGAACATCAACGAGCCAGATGCCACGGCGTGCTTCGTCACCCTCCAAGTCGGGGTAGTGGTTGTCTAGGAAGGTGAGAACTGTCGTAATGAGTACCGGAACACGCTTCTTGTCTGAACGAGCCCGAGCCTCCAAATCTACACCGAATGTTTGTTCTGTGTTTGTTAGTATATAGTTGCTCTCGATATAAATCGTGACGTACCGTCTACTGAGTTGTAGTAATTCTCATAAGTCGTGACTCTAGGCACGAATGGCCCTGTCCTGTAGTTCTCGAGCATGTATCGGAGATCGCCTAGGGGCTGAACTGTCTCCTGGAACAGCATCATCTTGTCGACGGTGCTCTGCAGACTAGGAATTACGTTGCTGACAGCGCCAGAGAAATCCAAGATAACCGCCTTGATAGCCTTCAGCCTGTCCAATTCGCAACGCTCCATGAATTTGAGATGGTCCACCATAGCCTCTTCCAGATTGCATCGTAGCGAGTCAAGCTTCTTGACTGATGCCTTGTAGCGCTCATCGGACTCGTGTGCCTCCCGCCTGAGCCTCTCTGCTGGTGTCTCATTCGGGTACTGGTTGTTGAGCGGGTTCCACCCCTGGAGGTATTCCTGCACGGTCGAGACGGGCGAGTCCACGGCAATGCTGTCGGCTGAGGAGCTAGACATAGCGGTAGAAGAGCGGGCGAGAGGCTGCTTCTTCTCAGGCAGTCCAGTCACCTGGAACGTCTTGGGCTTCCATTGGTAGTTCATGCGGGAGCTGTTGGCGAATGTGTTTCCCACGTTTCCCACTAGGCGCAGAAAGCCGTGTGCTACCAGGTCCTGACCAATGCGCTCGGCATAGCTCACGGTGGTTGCTGCCATGTGCTTCTGGATGTATTCGGTGATATCGGCACCGCTTGAGCAGTTCTGGTAGGTGCCGAGAATGGGAACCTTGACCTCTGCAATCTTGATGTTGTCCAGCATGTGCGTGAGGATCTTCTTGATCTGGTCGGGCTGGTACGTCTCGTCACCAAGATCAATGGGCTCCTCTTCCTCATTCTCCGGCTCCGACATCTTTATGGTGGGCACCTTCATCTTGGGGCTCTGTGCGGCCTCGCTCTGGGGGTCCTGGAAAGCAAGCTTGTCCTCCTCCTCCAGATCTTCGACGAGCCGGCACTTGTTGTAGTATTGCGATCGGTACTTGCGGACAGCATCGGCCTGTCGGTCGTGGATCTTGATGCGCGATTGGAGGTCGTCCTGGGAGTTCTGCACGCGGGCGGCATGCGCTTCGCACCAGCGGCCGAATGGGTTCACGACAAGCTCGCGGATGTTGGACGCAATCTTCTTGTGGTTTGCGGCCGCTGCCTCCATCTCGGTGCGCACGCCCTCGTAGGCCTAGTACCAGTTAGCCTGGGGTTGTCGCCGTGTCTCCTGCTCACGCACCTTGCGCACGCTTGCGCCCTCATCTCTGCTAAAGCCCCCGCCTATGCGATCTGTGGCTGGTGTAATCGAAGACAGGCTGTTTCCGTAGGCCTCCTCGGCATCGGCTCGCATGCGGGCCACGGTCAGGATCTGCTGGTTCTCCTGCACGCCCTGCTGCAGCTTGCCAAAGAGGACGCCCAAGCCTGCGAGAGTTAGCCCGCGCGGGGTGGTGTTGGGTGCGCCTGCAGCTTACCTCCGGCATAGTCGCTCGACCAAAAAGAGGCCGCAAAACCCGTCGTCATGACGGCGTGTGAAGTGGGGTATCAAAAAGAAACAACCAAGTTGGGTACGTGTACGGGTGTGGTCGGTCAACGGCCGTAGTGAGCGCGCGGAGAAGTGAGTCTGGGGAACACGCAAGCGCAGGCCCGGTGCTCGAGCGTGGGTGACGTCGCCCTACAAAGAGGCTACTCGCGTAACGGGCAGTGCGTCGTGAGTGGGCGCAGCGCAGTGGTACTCGACACGGGCGGCGGCGGCGGCGTCGGGGAAGCGAGGGCAGTGACTGACTGAGGCACGTCGGTGTCAGGAGGGTTTTGCAGGCCGCAGCTGGGGCACGACTGCAGAAGAGCTGAGAGCTGAACGATGTCTCATGTACCCCTGCATGTGGCCGTTTGTCGTGACAGCCCTGGCACCGTCAGGCAAGCCTACCAATCTTGCGCGCTTCCGACATTTCGCCTTTAGCGGACGATATAAATACCCACGCAATTCACCGACCCCCAAGCGCGGCCCCTGCATACGGTGTGGTAGACTAGTCCGAGCCCGCGCCTACTACCGTCTATGCATCATCGCCAGTCGCTGGGCTAATGCTGTCGCCCTGCCAGGTCCCCTAAATCGACAAGTTACTGCTCCGAACACTGACAGACGCGACGTCTGCGGGGCTCCGTCATCACTGCCTGACTAACCCTGCACGCGGAATAAGCCTTATTACAGGCCCATTCAGGAGAAAGTCAAGTCTCCGCTAATCATTCATCCGTCTTACATACTCTGCGCAAACATTCGCCTTGGCCGTCCAGGTCAGCCCCGCCATCAAAACTCACGCCTCGCAGCGGGACCGAGATCTCGCTCGGCAAACGCCCCCGGGTCCACGCACCTCTTCTCCCTATCATGGCTCCAGCTGCCTTTGATGCCAACACACAGCTCAACTATGCCCGCCACATCAAGTACTGGCGGCGGAACCTGAAGACTCTGCTGCCGCACTTCTACACCAGCAATGACTCCAACCGCATGCTATTGGCCCTTTTCACCGTGTCCGCTCTCGACATTCTGGGAGATTTAGACGCTGCTTTGTCAGCCGAGGAGCGTCGTGGGCACATCGAATGGGTCTACAGCTGCCAACTGCCGGAAGGTGGCTTCCGTCCGTGGCCAGGGTCCAATTACGGCGAGCTCAGAAGTGAAGAAAACAAGAACTGGGACCCTGCCCATATTCCTGGAACTTTCTTTGCGCTCTTGACGCTGGTCGTACTGGGGGATGATCTGGAGAGGGTCAAGAGAAAGGAGATTTTGACATGGCTGGTCAAGATGCAGAGACCAGAGGGTAGTTTTGGGGAGACGTTGGGCGATGGCGACTACGTCCATGGCGGTAACGACTCTAGATTCGGCTACATGGCTACAGCTATCAGATGGATACTTCGAGGCAACCTCGAGGGACCGTGTGAGGGTATACCAGATATCGATGTCGACAACTTCGTCACGTGTGTCCAACAAGCAGAGTGCTACGACGGAGGCATCTCGGAATCGCCCTACCACGAAGCGCATGCGGGCTTCACCTGCT